TTTTTTTTTTTTTTTTGCGGACTGATTAAATAATGAGTCAAAAGATTAACAGCTAATAATACATGTAGTCATTCATCACACTGAAAATGGAAAGTAGAGTCAAGTGCATTTCATTTTGTGATACTGTATTCAGCACAGTGCGCTTTGATGTATACTGCATGCATACAGCAAACATACTGCTGCATTTAATAAATCACATCCACCAAAATCACAGATTTAAACCTTTAATGATGCATAATTCCTACTATTTCACTTCAGTGTCAGAACTGCATTTATTTGAAATAGATTTTTTTTGTAACAATTTAAAAGTTACTTCCATTAAAATGTTACATTTGATCAATTTAATGCATCTTTAAAAAATCTTACTGACCACCTTGATAGTGTATATGTTACATTAAAATTAAATGTCAGTATCTAATAAAATGGCATTCGTGCATTTGAAAAGCGCCAATATAAGTGTCTAAATATGTCACTGTACTTTATAGTTTGTCTTGTAAATGAGCAGATTTAGTGAAGAATGACAGGAAGTTATTGTGTGGCCATGTGTGGTTGCCACATGTCAACAAGTCAAAAGCTTGCACTAACTGGTCTGCCACAGCTCCGACATATCAAACTACTTTAAAGACATTGGTATGTTATGTCAGCTGGTAAATGATGGTACTTTGAGATACACATTTTAGAGTCAAAGAAAAAAATAAATAAATAAAAAAACACTTTTGTTATCAAAGGAACTTACACAAACATTGTATATAAATAAGAAAAAGGATATACTCACGGCCCACACAGGAGAAGTGAAACCCAGGATAGCACCTTGCATGCCCTCGGACACAAACGGCACAATGTTCTCCCCCAGACATGTGTCTCGATACAAAGCCCTCAGGATGTTCAGAGCGTGGACCTGTATGTGCAGAAAAAACAAAGACCCATTAAACAGGCCTGATTCTACTCCTATGTTTCTCTTAGAGATGAAGTGTGTGTGTGTGTGTGTGTCCACCTGTGGCACAGAGTTGCTCTCAGTATCTCTATCATTAGAGGGCATGGCCAATGCTTTCAGAGATCTCATGGTCATCTTCAGAAGTCCACAGCTGGATGATTTGGGCTCAGAGGACAGCAGGGCCTACAAAGAGACAACGTTATCACAGCTAACACTTTCATGGAAGATTAACAGGCAAGTCCCCACACATTTGACATGGTTTGGAATGACATGAGGGTGAGTAAATGATGACAGAAGTTTCATTTTTAGGTGAACTGTCCTTTAAGCTGTATTTCAGACAGGACATTCCGTTAAGACGGGGCCAGTGAATGGCAGCATGACAGAGGAAAAATGACTCGGGGTGTGTAACCGAATATGGCCTCTGTTCTTTTGTCCTCGTGCCATAAGGGTGTGAACTCATCGCGCAAGACCACCTTTTCCGGGACATACCACAGGAATGTGCGTTCATGCCAGGCGTTGAGTCTATCCATCCTCTCGGTGTCTTATTCTTCCCTAAAACCCTCTCATTGTCTTGCGTTTCAAATCCAAAGCTCATTTTTCATTGACTTCAGTATTCAGCTATTCTGACCTCTCAGAGGACTGTCCACTGGGGAAGATCTCCATCATAAATCTATACGGAATCAATTACCGATCCGCAGATGTTCAAATAACACTAATGAAACAGTGGGAGATTCTTCAGAGATTGTCAGATTATTACTTATTTGTCTAAGCATGACTGTTGTGGAGGTGCTATGCAACTAGAACATCACACACATTTGTGGTGAATTGTACAGTTAAGTACCTCTAGGCATTAAAGGTTTATCAAAGTAATTTTATGTTCTCATAGACCCTGCTATTAAATGCTGCAACTGCACTATTATAGAAGCCTCTTTCTTTTTCTTCTTCTTAATATTATTAATGTATTATTAATGTTATTAAAAGTTGCACTGCCTAATACATTTGTGGAAACGGTGATACATTTTTTTTCAGGATTCTTTAATGAGAGAGAGTTCAAACGAACAGCATTTATTTGACAGAGAAATCTTGGACAACGTAAAAGTCTTTACTGATACTTTGAATCAATTTAATGCATCCTCGCTGAATAAAAGTATCATTTTGTTCCAAAAAAAATCTTTCTGACTCCATACTTTTGAAAAGTATTGTCTGTCACTGTAAAAATAGCCTATTTACAGGAGTATTTGGCGTTTAAGCGGACTAAATGATTGAAGAAGTCTGGTATAAGTCATCAGAGAGAAATATGTAATTTCACAGGAAAATCAGGTTACAACAACGGTTAAAAATTACAAGCTCAAAAAACACACAAAAAAACAAAACAAGATGCATTAAGAAAATATACAGGGTCAATTTCTCATTTGTCAACTTTAAAATTAGAAATTTATTACGGCTGTCAATCGATTCAATTTTTGAATCTAATTAATTACATGATGTGGCGATTAATTTATCTAATTAATCGCAAATTAAATTAGGCTGTGAAAATACCACCAAAAGATCATTTAAAGCCATTATTGTGTTAAATGAGAAAAGTATCAAGTAGATATTACAAAAAGTAGCTTTTGAAAGAAATATTTTATTTGATTCAACATGAAATTTATTACACATTTAGGCTAAAATGGCCTTACATAAACCATGATGGAACATAAAAGCTTGGTTACCAAACAGTCTTCAAAATACCTTCTTTTATGTTCCACAAAAGAAAGTAAGTGATACAGGTTCGAAACGACATGAAGCTGCATTTTAGGTGAACTATCCCTTTAATGTTGTTGTTTTTTAATATGGAAATTGTATTTATTTTATTTTATTTTAATGAAATGATACTCTAAATAAGAAACTAAAACTGCCAGTAGGTGGCAGTAAATGTCTTTATGAGTAAGTTACGGAGTCATTTATTCATTCATCTGATTTGTTCAAATGGCTGATTCATTCAGAAATGAAGTAAACGGCTGTTTATGAATGGGGCATTAAATCATTGGTTCACCGGATTCATTCGAAATGCAGAATCATTCAGAAATCACCAGTGTTGTCAAGAGATGCACAACAGTTCTGCTGTGGGTTGGTAAAATTGAGCAAAAACAGACAATATTGTGTCTAAAATATAACAATAGTAAGTTTTTATTTACTGAACTGTTGTATAAAATCACATTTGCACTTGTGCTATTCGGGTCAAAAACACCACTCACGCTGCTCTTGTGATATCGCTTATATGAGACAAAAACTCATACAGGGGCATTTTTTGCCCTAATATCTTGCACATAACTGCATTTATGGACTACTGTACAACACGTAGCGAGTTGTTGCCCTGCATCATATTTGTCAACTGTATGAAATATGAGATGAAGATCAGGTCTGGGGCGGGGCGGGTGCGTTAAAATATTTTAATCGCGTTAATTTTCCAAACTAATTAATTATATTAACATGACGTTAAACTGACAGCCCTAAAATGTATACAAGAAGAAAGGGCTATTGTTTCATTAGGTGTAATGCATTCATTTTGGAGGTGGGGGGGGATCTAGTGGTCTGTGCCGTACATTAAAGAGGCCCAAGGTACTAACCTGTATATAGAAGGGTATTTCTGCACTGCGGCGGGTCGCACACAGTTTAGAGGAGGGGTCACTGGCTTCCACTTCCTCAAGAACCTCCTTCAGCCATTGTGCTGGCAGCTGCTGTAGTGCAGCACTCCCACTCCTAACACACACACACACGCGCACACACACACACACACACAGATTACAACAAACCCACATAAGACCTTGTTGTGGAATTCTGAAGACTGTTGGTATCCAAGTTTGTGTGGTTCCCAGTGTCTCTCAAACATTTTTCTCTCTGTTTTCTCTGATGCGATATTATCCACAGTTTTCAAAACAATCGAAAAATCAAAGCATAGACTATAAAATGAACTGAATTTGAACACTCATTCGTGGAAAATGTCAGACTTGAGCCAAGTTATACTACAGCGGAAAAGTTGTGAAGATTAACATCAGTTTTTATAAACAGTTTTTGTGGAATCATACAGAGGCAGACTCTGTTGTCAGTCATGGTTTCCAAAAACAATATTAAGCAGCACAACCGTTTGATAATAATAAGAAATGTTCTTAAGCAGCATATCAGCATATTAGAATGAATTCTGAAGGATTATGTGACACTGGAGTAATGATGCTGAAAATTCAGCTTTGAATCACAGGAGTAAATTACATTTTAAAATATATTAAAATAGAAAACAGTTATTTGAAATAGAAAAAAAAATATTCCACAATATTATAATTTTTACTGCATGTTTGGTCAAATAAATGCAGCCTTGGTGAGCAAAACAGACTTCTTACCATAATCATAAGAGAGCCCAAACCTACAGGAAAATGTTTTTTTCAGCAGCAAAGCTGTGATTAAGAAAATAAATCTCAGTAAGCCACACAATTTGAGGGATCATTCATGTTCGTAGCACAAAGTTCGAAGTATTGTTTGTTCGTAGCACAACATGAGTTGCACAACAACTATTTATTCTTCATGTTAAAGGTTTGTTCAAAATCCTATTCCAAAGTATGAGCAATAATAAAAGAGATGCTTGCCTATGCAAGCACTGTAATTACACTGCAAACCTCAGTTGAATACACACACAAACACACAGCAGGAGCTGCCCAAGCGTGTGCAGGACGCTCTCGTTATGAAAGCTCTCGTTATGAAAAGTACCGTTATACCAGACGTGCTGGAGCAAACAATCTAAACCACACAGAGCACCCGGGCTCACACACACCTCTCACGACCCCAAACACAAGGGGAAACCTTCAAAAGGCAGCCGTCGAACGCCCCACAATCAACACCTCGTGACGGGCTTAGTGGTTGCCGGTGGAGCCGTGTAATCACACAGCAATGCTTTTCCTCCAGAAGCACTTCTGAGACTCCATACAGACACAGCTGCTAATGCAGGCCGATCCATCACAAACGCTTCCTCAGCGATTTCAAGAAATGTTACCATCTCAGGATTGAGCATTTGTTTGCATGCACGTTTTTTAGCTGTTTTGCACCTTTTATAGATAGGGAGGCCAAAAAATGACAGTAAATTATAAGGAAAAGAAACAAACCAGATCACCCACTTGAGCACAACAAACAGTTCTGGTTTCATTAGGATATGTAATGCCCACTTTTCTTTCATTCTCAGATACGCAGCCCAATAACTTTCCACTTTAATCTCTGCCCAAACACACAATACACGTACGTTTCACCATTTTATTAATTACTTTCTCATTACCGGAGCGAGTTTGGCAGCACTATATTAACAACTAACTCGTGCAGTGCTTGCCTCAAGTCGTATGAACGTAAATGACGAAACAATTAGTTGTTGACATTTATACAGCAAAGATTCACCAAACTCACTTTCAAATTTCAGTTGCAAGTCTTAATAAAGTAAAGGAGTCTCTTCTGTCATTGTATATATACTGTATTTATCACTCCTAGCAGACTACAAAATCTACGACCAGTGTTATTTTAGTATTGTTTATGTTGTTTGTTTGTACAGTTTTTATGATCATTTTTAAATAGCTTTTATTTTTATATTTTATAAAAAATAAAAAAATAAAATATATATATATATAGTTTAACAATTGTACATGATTTAGATTTTTTTTACATTTATTTCTTTTGTTTTTAAATATGGATATGGAAATAAGTTTTACTGTACTTCTGCTGCAAAAAAAAATGCTCATCGGTAATTTTGCCTTGTTTTCCAGTGCAAATGTCTAAAGATTCTTACATCAAGATACATTTACATGAGATGCAAAATGACATAAGACGACTTGTTTTCTGACCAAAGTGAAGAGAGTTCATGATTAAAAATATTTGCCAATGGGCTCAGAAACAAAAAAAAGTTTTCATACCTCATTGACAGATATTTATCGTTTTAAGCATAAACATGCTTAATTTTGTTCAGTTTTTTAAGTCTTCATTTAACATCTTGAGTATCTAGATTTAAGGAAGTATATTTGTATTAGAAAATAAAAATACTGAAGATGATGTTCATTTTTTTGCAACGCATGCAATATTTAATGTCATGACTTCATGAAATTAATTAAAGGGGTCATATGATGCGATTTCAAGTTTTCCTTTCTCTTTGGAGTGTTACAAGCTGATTGTGCATAGATAAGATCCCTGAAGTTGCAAAGACTAAAGTCTCAAAACCAAAGAGATATTCTTTATCAAAGTTAAGACTCTGCCACGCCCCCCTAAAACGGCTCATTCTAACACGCCCCCACATATCTACCCCACTATGTGGAAATATTTGCATAATCCCGCCGCAAATGTGCACGCAAAGAAAGAAGGCATGGTGTCAGTAACCGCAGTTAGTGTTGAAGCAACCATGTCAGGGAGACGCTGTGTGTTTCAGTGCGAAAGCAAAAGCACTTTATTTGGATCACTTACAACAGAACAGCAATGCATTTTATGGACGACCGTTTCGTGAACCTAGGAGAGGAGGTAATGCGGACACTCTCCGATACCTGCGACGTCACTTGCAATCGACACAAATCGTGCGTGTTGCCAATGGAGACAAGACGCTGTGGTGGTGATTAAACGATTAAAACTAATTTAGTACTATAACGTACAGGGTCCTGCAAGAAAAAGACAAGACCCGCAAATCCGCGGCCACAGAACAGCAGAATATGAAAGCAATGCACAAAGTCTCTCGTAAGCGTTTTCCTCCTGGAGAAAAACATAAACACTTAACATGGCTTAATGTATTAAGATAGGCCTACATTGAGTGCAATTAAAAGATCAAATTCGATATATAGTTATTATTTAATGTATCAATAGTAATAACTAATTTAATATTAATTAATGAACTAATTTAGTAATACGTTTTTAACTCAATATTTTCATTTAATTTTAGCTTTATTTCAGTTAACAAAAATGTATTTTTATTAGTTTAAGTTTATAAAAATAGCTCTGGATATTGACTGTTTTCACAATTCAAAAGAGTTTCATGAAAATAAAGTAGAAACTGCAGAGAGGCCAATTAAAAGTAGAAGAGGAAAGCAGAAGGCAGGAATGGAGTCAGATCATTAAAGACGCTCCCTCAGCAACTCCACAGCAGCAGAAGCGATCTGATGTCCCATTCATGTCACACTCGTGGCAGCGAGCGAGTCAATTTCCTTAACTTCTGCACAGAGACCACATTCCGAAGCTCATTAAATCTCACATTTCCAGATGTTAACAGTTTTTAAACTTCCTGATCATTTGAAGCGTGTCCTTCAGGAGCAGCGCTGGTTTCCAGCCCAGCACCTGAGAGGGAGCAGGAATGAGGAGGAGGGGGGCTGGACTCATTCAGGTATGAAACGTTACTGCCAAGCACAACATCAGGGGCTCTGGTGGAGCAGTCCTCATGACTCCCTCATCTATAAAGATGCACACTTGTTCTGACGGAGGCCTTTGGGTTGAAAACATCTTGAATTTTGTAATGACAAGGGGCGTATTTTACTGGACAGAGAGTTGATGAGTCTGTATGTGTGTTTTAATCATTAATATATAGCTGCTGGGTTAGGTCAAGCAATCTGATTGGGTAAGATCTCTCACCTGCAGAGCATCTCAGTGAGCTGAACAAAACCCACGTAGGCCAGTTCAAACGCACCCCCGTCACGAGACTGTAGCAGCTGCTCCCGAAAGTACTTCCCCACACCTTCCACCTGACAGAAAGACAGACGGAGATTAACACACTGCCTCAGTTAAATCTTTCGAACCCATAAGTATATGTTGAACCAGACATACAGCATTAATTTTGAAGTGTTCAGTAGTTTAACTTTTTTTCAGCATATACATACATACATTTACAGCATTTATATGAATTTCTTTCAATGTCATTTCATTGTAAATGTTAAAAATCCTTTATTCACTCACCCCACGTTTTAAACCGGCATGACATGCTTCTGTGGAACACAAAAGAAGATATTTTGAAAAATGATAATAATAATAATAATAATGTTTTTTTGGACTTGGATGGTATGAACAGCTGAAACATTCTTCAAAATATCTCCTTTTATGCACCACAGAACATCAAATGGCATGAGGGTGAGCAAATGACGACAGGATTTTGGATTCAGAACCTGAATTTTAAAAGCACCCTCGATATACTTCTGAATGGCACACATTCCTGTTCACGAATATGCCTAGAAAAACAGATATATGTCTTATATCAATAAAACAGCTCCTCCCACAGGCAGGCAACGGTTAAGGTCCACATGGCAGCAGAGCATCTATTTACATCGTACTCCAAACTGGTACCACCAAACTTTACTTACGCTCCACGTGCGCAGAGGAATTTCCCAACATGGCCAGCTAATTACACGTCAGGGTCAGTGACCTAAATAGAGGCTTTTCTTGCATGTCTAGCACTAAGAGGGTTAAACACAAGTCTAATACTGTTGTTTGCTGGTTGTTTTGATTCCATTAGCTTAAACTTGCACTGAATTAGGAAATTCAGAATTAGAAAAAATATATACAAACAAATACCACAGATGGCCATTTATTAGCTATGAAAGACTGGATGCAGAGTGCAACAAAATTGCAGGTTGAAAATTATTCAGACTTAAACAAATCAGTAATTCTGGTTGGTCACAACTTACATGTATGTTCTGGCCACACCAGGCATTAAAAAAAAATTTATTTAGATTTTTCATAAATTATAAATGCTATTGGTCACTCTTTATGTCTTTCTGTTGGTTTTACAAATATTTCACCAGTGAAAAAATAATCAAAAAGTGCTTGTGTCTGAACCTCATAACTCCACTGGATTCTCAAACTGTCACCAAAAACTCCACCGATCTTGAACGAAGCACCGCTCACAAAGTTTGGAGATGATCTCTGCTTGTTTGCGATGCAAGGGTAAATAAAGAACTGTTTTTTTGAATAAGCACAGGGTTTACGCTCTATAGAGGCTAATGTTTTATGTATTTGAAGAATGGAGAAGAGTATCTTAGTCTAAAATTCACT